TACTAGATCTTAGCTTTTTAAATTACTAATTATTATATATTTAGCTATATTATCAGCCGAGATACAATAGTTTCAAAATATCAACTTTTTTTAGTTCTTTTTTTTTTTTGCACCCCACTGTAATAAGCGTTGCTCACTGCGATATCCGCAGCCCTGTCAATATCGCTTTCTTTCATGCCAAATGCTTTCAAGTTTCTAGGAGCTTCAGTCTTCGCCAATAACGCATTAAATCCTTGTATGGCATCACCATTGCTCTCCGGCGAAGCATCAGCCAGAATTTTCAGAGCGGCCGGCACTTTCGGGGCATTGTATGCGAGTGTGTGGGGAAGAACAATAGTATGGGTCTGGGAGTGGGGAAGATTGAAGCTTCCACCCAGAGTGTGACAGAGTTTATGATGCAAAGACACTCCAACGCTGCCCAGGCATGTTCCGCACAGCCATGCGCCACACTGGGCGCTGGAGCGCGCAGAGATGGATGAAATTTCGCAAAGAAGTTCCGGAAGCGCGCTCGCTATAGCCTTTATACCCTCCTGTGCAAATAGTTTCGTGATAAGGTTCCCATTTTGTGCATAGAGAGCTTCCACTGCGTGAGCAATTGCATTGATACTGCTGGTGACTGTTAGACCAACTGGGACGGTCATGGTCAGGTCGACATCGTAGATCACTAAACTTGGGAGGATCTTCGGGTCAGAACGAGTAGTTTTCTCCTACTACAGGAGTCACCTCGCTCCCCGCATACGTCGTTGGGATTACGACGTGAAAAAGACCGTTCCTAATAGACATTGCTTTGCCGAGACCGATCGTACTTCCACCACCGATGGATATCAAACAATTCGGGCTCCTCTCATTGCAATATAGCAATGTTTTTCCGTGACATAGAGCGGTGTGTGCATTGTGGCTTCCGAAAACATGCCCGCAACCTCCACTTTCTGGGTTAAAATCTCTTGCAGTGCTTCTGCTTGATCGATTTGCCCGGGGGTGGACAGGATGAGCGGCTTCGAGAGTCCATTTTGTTTCAGCAATTCTCCGCTTTTGGCTGTGGAACCACTGCCGAAGATGATGTGCGCAGGATTTCGTCGGTACTCGAAGGCTTCCATGGTGAGTTGCGACACTTGAAAGAATTGTGCTTGAGGACGAAACAATCAAGTGTATCGAGTGTGGAGACCGTAAGTTCTGAGCGCGGACATACCAACTCATGTCTACCAGACAAACTTATCGTACGATTGCACTATGGTAGCTGGAATCGTACGCGCTTAAGTATTTACCCGATATTGGTCGGTGGACCGGAGCATTGTACGGACACCTTGCGCCTCATCATCAAGTTACTTCTGGCTGATAATTGCACAACTACACCACAATTCCGTTCGCATAACACCGATCCTGATTTTCCCTTTCGATTCCTCCTCTTGAAAAATTCTTTTCAAATAAACTTTTTTTCCAACGCCAGCATGGTTCCTCAAAAACCAGATATTGCTGCGCTTAAGGACCTCACTATAGAGAACATCACAGGTAATGTCCACGTGATAAACTCAGATTGCCAAGATACTCTTACACGCTTTCTGTTTGAGCGCTTAGTCGCCCATTTAGATGACTTTGCTCGCGAGACCCGCCTGAGCACAGCTGAGTGGGAGACTGCGATCCGGTTCCTTACAGAATGTGGCAAGATATGCAGCGACACTCGACAGAAGCTGATTCTCTTGTCCGATGTCCTTGATCTTTCCCTTCTAGTTGACTCTATCGACCATCCCAAAGCGCCTGCATTTACAGAGGGTACTGTCTTAGGGCCATTCCATGCTCACGTCAGTGAAACCGTCTCATCAGGTGCGGCTATCCCACACGATCCCAATGGTGAACCTTTGCTAGTGTATTGCACCGTCAAGGACTCATAGGGCAGGCCAGTCGTGGCTGTTGACATTGATGTGTGGGAGACGGATTCAAAGGGCTTTTACGATGTCCAATACGCAGGGCGCGAAGGGTTCGACGGTCGGGCTGTACTCTCTAGTGACGAGCATGGAGACTTTCATTTCAAGGTGATTGTACCAGTTCCGTACCCAATCCCTGATGATGGTCTTGTTGGAAGGCTCCTCGCGGTACTAAAACGGCACCAGTATCGACCCAGTCATATGCACTTTATGTTCAGGAAGCCTGGATATGACCCGCTCATCACCTATGTCCACCCCCAAATCTGTGTTTTACCTTTGTCTGAAAACACAGCAGGGCTCTGTATCTTCGACGCGACCCATATGAGACATCTGACGTAGTTTTCGGGGTCAAAGAATTACTTATAGTAGACCTACAAGCTGCGGCGGATATCTCTGTTTGTTGTGCAAAATATGGCATGCCTGAAACTATGAAAGTTCTCAAATATGATTTTTTTCTTGTTGCTGATGCCGAAATCACTGCACTTCGAAATCAGAAGGCGCTTGATGCAGCATCATGCTTGGGTCTCAAGCTGAAATTAGACCATGGGCTTCTAGTGAGGGACGATTGAAAGGCATTGCGCGATTATTTTGTATATCAGAGAATCACATATTCTCGACAGCCAAACTTTAATGTTACAAAAGAGCAAGTACTAGGCAGAAATTGACTAGTATTCAAACAGCTTTGCAATTTCTTTCGCATCTGTGCTGTAAAGTTTGCTTGCTTATAACTCAGCAACCCCCTAGACGCCATCTCAAGATATCACACTCCATGTCACCCTGTTGCCGTCTGGACTTGACATTTCTCACTGCATTTTCAATGGCTGCAGTGTAGCCAAAGGTGCACAGCCCCATAACAACCGCTTCTGCCTTGTCGGAGAGGTAGCTGTGATGTCTAAACCTCTCTCTTGCATGCGTCTTTGTAATATGTAGCTCGATGAACGGTATGTTGATCCCCAACAAGGCGTCTCTGATGGCAACACTTGTATGTGTAAAAGCTGCCGGATTGATGACAATGGCGTCCACTTCGTTCCTTGCAGCATGTATTCTCTCAACGATGGCCCCCTCATGATTGGATTGAAAGGTTTCTAGCTCAGCTCCCAGGTCCTTTGCCTGCGTTTTTCCCCTTGACTCAACATCCGTGAGCGTTGTTGAGCCGTATAACTCTGGTTGACGAGTCCCTAGAAGGTTGATGTTGGGACCGTTGATCAAAAGAATTGTTTTTATCCTTTTGCGTAATAGTGGTCAATGAAGAGTACCCAAGGACGATAAAATGGGATTTTGTCAGATGGAGAAACCGAAAATGAGATTCTCTCTGGATTGCATCAAAGTTTTTCGAAAGTTAGTGCTGGAATTAGTCAGAGTAACACAGGAAATGGCTGTCCCGGAACCATAGATCGCTCAGTCCCTCAACGCAACTACGATGCATTGAAGTATGCCTTTAATTATCTCGGGTAAAACATTTACTGTAAATCATAGTTCTGGGTGAACGCTAAAGCAATAGGAAAGCGTCAAGCAGATGATGTAGTGTTGTGAACAATTCTATGGTTCTACCTCTTACGCGCGACGGTACATGAAACCATTTCTTCACAAAGCTGAACTAGCCAAACTCCTTCGCTTTAATTCAACTTCCATTGCCTCTTCCATAACCTCGATTGGTGCATCTTTACCAGTCCAAAGCTCAAACTGGGCGTACGCCTGCTCCTTCAGCACGTCCATACCCTTGAAAATCCGCCATGCCGGATATCTCGCCGCTACCTTCATCATTCCAGTCTCCAAAGGTCGGTATGCCATCTCAACCAGGACACCTGACTTGGCTCCAGAGAATAGACTTGATGAAATTCTGTCCTCGGTAAGGTCATCCGCAGGAATACACCCAATAACAATTCGCACAGGGGAGCTTGAAAGCAAGTGGGCATTGTCCATATCCGTACATATGTGTGTTGACAGCGCAGGGAAATGCTTTGCCATCTCTTCAGCATTTGAACGTCTGCGGTTGACAATGATAACATCCTTGATTTGCAGCGTCTCCAGCGCATAACACGCCGCGCGTGCTGCCCCGCCAGCACCCAAGACGACAGCTGTGGACGACTCGATATCTGATAAATGACTCTTGACGATACAGGATCTTATGCCTGACCAATCTGTGTTGTCACCCTCCAATATGCGCCCAGTTTGCGATTGTTTGACTACAATCGTGTTGACTGCACCGACGCTGAGTGCCCGTGGTGTGATCACGTCGAGAAAATTCCCGATTTGTAGTTTATGTGGGAATGTGACCGATGTACCTCCAAAATTGGGTTGTCTCATCAGATGCTTCACTGTCTCATCAACAGCCTTTGTGTCATGGATCGTGTAGTGGCCTGGATAGCGGAGTTTTGCGAACCCAGCATTATGCAGATGGGACGATAGAGAAAATGATATATTGTTCCCGAAAATAAAGAAGTCAAGGCCGGTCGTCTGGTCTGCCGCTTCATCGTTGGTCCCATTAGGGCTATTGTGGATTAATGGGGGGCCTGGCATTGCTGCGCGTGGATAACAAGGTGAGATCGAGTGGTAAAAGTGCCAGCCTATTCGATAGTCTCGCCTTCCTTGATACTGCCGATTGGTGAGTATAAATAGTTTTAGTCTCCTGCTAGCAAAACCCCTGATTATATCCAGTTCGCATCAATCAGGACGGTTTCTCGAGAATCTAGGCATTTCTAGTGAGGTTACTCCTTTCGATATCGATGATCTTTTTGCTCGACAAGCATAGACATTTGTATGAATTCGGCTGGGACGGCGAGGTGGAACTAAGCGATCCTCGCACATTGTCGATACAGCCACTGCATTGTCTAATCATACAAAGGAGTGCGTGATTTCAATCTTAATCTAGGTCTAGAGACAAGCACTACAACCACATCATATTTTATCATCGCTTACGCAGTCGATAATCTTCTCAACATACTCAGACAAGAGCGACTCACCCTAGACCAAGGGTGGGTGTCAATAGTCCTCGAGATAGTCTTGAGCAGGATTAGTTGGCCTCTATCTAACTCTTAGTAACTCTATCTCTACCTAACCTATATAGCCTATACAACTCTACCTCTATCTCTATCTAATTCTAGCGCTAATATTGAGTAGAGATAGAGGTAATAGTTGCACGAACTTAGGTAGAGATTAAGTAGAGTTATATAGGTCTTAGGTAGGGGTTAGATAGAGTTAGATTAGACGATATAACCCTACCTAACCCCTATCTAACCCCTACCTAAGTCTATGCGACTATTACCTAACCTCTACTCTACCTAGAGGTAGGGGGGTACCTATCAACCAGTCTAATCCAACTCCGTATAACATCTGAGCAAGCACGTGATGTGAACGAGACAGGCTTTGCTATTGGGGTACTAGGTCGATCAAAGACCATCTTCTCTAGGCTTCAGTACGAGAAGAATGAGATTACACAGGCTCTTTGATATGGCTCACGTGAGTGGGTGAGCCTGTTCGCAGCGATTTATTGGAGGGTACTACTTTTCCCCGTACCTCGGGCACCACTGGCAGTCCATCAATAGCGACAAAGGCATCAAGCCCTTTATTCAGTCGGACTTGAACTATTTTTCACTGTCGGTAAAGTATGTGTGGCTCTTATGGAGTTCATCGTCGCCGTCCATAGGCACGTTCAAGCATGCCGACGCCATGATGGCTAACTTTGCGTACGAGCCGATGGCGGTGATAATATGCTCTCTGCTTGCCGTCTCCGAGCAACACCGCTGCCTCGCTACCATATCTTTTTATTATTTTCTTCTAACCTACGAGCTTCTTCATATCGCTCCGAAATCATGCGCAGTGCTGGAATGACTAGGGAATATACCGCCAATCAGGCTAGTGTCGGCACCAAGCGCGCTGGGTGCCAGCTCCCAACATGTGGCTGGCAGCATTAGCGATCATGCGCGCAGTGTTGAGAATATAACCAATTTTCTCCTGTCCCAACGTGAGCTTCGTCCCCATACATGCGCAACACTTTTCTACCAATAACTGGCGACAGGATCTCATGTCCATCTGTGTAAATACAAGTGGGCGGCAGGTAAACTATCTACGATCAACGAACTAGCGACGCTCAACAAAATGCTGTTGCCACCAAAGACTTGCCAGATGAACTGCCCCAAGACGAACCGCACACGAAACATTTTGTGATTATAGCCTACTTCATGCTTGAATCAGTCCATTGTGACGTCGTCAATCAGGATCAAGATCAAGAAATAAAAAGTGGTAAAGTCTCGCTTATTTGCTGCCTTACACATGGAGATACTGTAGGTATTCATTATCAATACTACAACAATATTGCCGGTCGGGATGCTGCGTCGGCTGAATCGTTAGAGAAGCGTTGCATACGGAAACGCCGTTGCAATATCTGCTGCATAGGATTTATCTTTGATCCTGTGAAACATCAAACCAAGAAGAGAAAGCATAAAGGAACAAAAAACAAAAATAGTAAACCGTAGCCGGCTTGCATTCCTTACTAAGGACGGGCACAACGACAATTTTACAGGTGTTGATTAGATCTAAATCTTCTTTTACATATTATACTTTGCACATGGCTTCGCTCAAGCCTTTGTAAAAACTAGTGATTCCAGGGACGCATTGGGAGTACAAGCAGGGACGATACATATTTAGCTCTAAGATACGCAGATACGGTGGTTTAGTCAGAGCCTACGCCATCGACATGAACACGAGAAGGAGCGCACAGTTCCAAGGTGTTAGATTGTTCAAGGCGATCATAGCGCACGAAAAATATAGTGTTAGAACTTAAAATACTGTCCTCTAAACATGGACTGGCTGTATTATTAGAGCCGGCATAGCGCAAATAAGTAATCGATATCGATTTGCTTGCAACTGCTACTTAGATCACTGTCATATCACGGTCTGCGGCCTTGTTTACCGAAGCCTCTGCTACACGCCGCTTCACCCTAGTATAGAAAGGCTATCTTAACTGCTTCAATGTACCGTGCGCCATCTTCCTAGAGATAAATATCAATACCTTATCTTGGCGCGAAATCAGATAAAGAAAAACTTCTTCATTATGGTGGAGCTTGTCGCAGTGCTTTTAGCTTATGTGTTCGGCCTGCTGCCGCTGCGCCGTTTAGACGTCTTCTGGAAGGGACTTCCTATTGAGAGGATGTATACAAGCTGTGGCATACAGGATTTCTGTTTTACTTAGTTCTGGCCTGCCCTATTTATATGTTAGCTGGGCATATCGCTCATACAAATACACGGACTGTGTGAAACGCGCGAATAATGTGGCATTTTGGAGTGCTGGTGTATTACTTCTGGATTCTAAAGGAACTCAGCCATTGTTCCATGAGACAAACGTACTCTAAACTTTTCGATAGTAAATACCGGTGAAACTTGTAGGGTATTAATCAAACGAACGTAAACGAGGTGCTGATGTACCTGGGAGTGCTTTGCGGAGGTGCATGCTTAGAGCATCATTCGTCTTACGTACGAGTTGATTAGCACTAAAAGACTACAAGGCCACTTAATTCGTAGCACGATACAAGATCGGACTTGAAAGATGAAGAGGTGACCCTTAATCGAGCTGGGATGACAGAGCTGAAGTTCAACTGCTGCATTGTATCAAGTAATGAAGGTAGTCTATCTGGTTTAAAAGAAATCCCGACGTATATCCGTAGTCTAATCACCTGATATGGTCCTACAATATACTTCATAACGCACTAAGCAATCTATACACAAAGCAGCAATCGTCAACATCCCCCTCTTATAACCTGAAAAGGTCTACTACACGCCTTCCTCCGATGAAATTACACATAAAGAACGCCTTGGTAGGAGCCTCGCTGATAGCGCGACTACATTGCGGAATCTAGTAGATGAAGGGTGGCTCGCACTGTGTGCGGTGCAGGGCGTTCCACCCACTGACATTGGAGTATTTCCCGTTGGCCTTGCACTCTCCGGCAGTCGTGTGGTCCTGAGACGCTCTCATGCACATTCTTGTGCAATCGTTGATTTCGTTGTTCTGGAAACACCACAGTAGTGAGCAGGTTAAGCTTGAGTGGGTGTGATACATGGTGACTTACGATAACGCAGCAGTGGCTGCCGTCTGGGTAAAGGCACTGGCAGTACGAAGCAGCAACGCTGCTTGCGCCAGCAAAGAGCATGGCAACGATGGTGAGAAGGCGGACCATGTTGATCTTTGATGAGAATGATGTCGTTGGATTAGGGGTTGGTATTATGTGATAAGGAGTGAGGTGATGGTGCTGATGAGTTGATGTTTTCATAGAGCCCTTAGAGAAATCACTATGTTTATACAGTCCAGCAGATTAAAAACTCATACAACACGAGTCATAAAAATCTCTGGGCCAATTGATGAAGCACTCTACAGGGGACGTGCACAAGTCACATTGGATATCTGTGATGAAGCTCACGGAGTCCGTAATAAGACGCTTGTGTTTATCTGGAAAGGTCTCTCACTATTCTAATTAGACAAGGCACTCACCCTATTTCGACGATATAGTTTCAATTAAAATCTGTAAGTACGGAGATAATTATATAATTAAGTTTAGATGAAGATGGTAAATAAGTGGGGTATACTTGGCGAGAGGTTGTAGTGAAGTTAGCGTCAGACACACTCTCGACTAAGATTAATTAGGGTTTAGTTCCCGAGGGCTCAAGAACTGTATGAAACGGCGATATCACTAGTGGCACGAGTAGCTGCAAAACATCTCCGATGTGGCAGATATCCGTGCTCGCAGGAGGCAAACTTTAGGTAATGCGCCACGCAATATAATTGCATATGCATAGTGTATATCGAAGTGCCATCCCAAAGGCACTAGGTACGGTGGTATCAACTACGCGATATTAAGGTGAGGATCGTACGGCTGACTGTGACGCCATTACCGCTGCCGCAAGGGCGACGGGGACCAGTGCGGTTAGGCGGCCACTACCGCTAGAGTGGCCCTGACTAGTGCTAGTTTAACACGGTGACCGTTCTTGTGGCGAAAGTCAGGCAGGCTACGACGCAGCCCTCCTGCATGGGCGCCACGAGAGTACTTTGAAGGGGAAGGGGGCTGGGCGGACAGCGTGGCCGTACACCGACTCCTCAGCAGTGCGCACGTGAGGAAGATACTAATTAATTAGACTATTGCGATGAGCATGGGAAATCATGCAAAGTGGAGACCGATGGAAACAAATAATTCTGAGTTCATGTGCAAGGCTGAAGATACCCATGAAGTTTATAGAAAAGGGGGCCTTGTTGTTACGCCTCACTGTTTGTACCCACGAGACAGTCTAAGTACCGTATCGCATAAAACATAGTTATTTGGAAGATTTTAATACGCGCGTACTACAAGGCACAGAGGCTCCATGTTTGTTTTGGGTAAGAGAATTGAAGGATGTTTTCAATACTAAGTCAGTACACAGCACAGCTATTTGTATATCTACTGTTATTCTTGATAAGACCTCGGTGTCAATATTTGATCAATACTAGCTGATGATACGAATTGAAGATTGAGGTATATAAGGAGGTCTTATTTACTGCCATACTTCTACGTCGTATATCTATAACTTTGAGGAAATGTGACCTAAGTACATGCAAGCTTCCCAGCGAGGCCCTAAGAAACTCTGGAACCGAGAAAAACTAAGAAAAAAGAAAACAGTGTTTGCAATGATGCAAGGAAATGATTGCTTAGGCGGAGTTGCGCAAGGCACACTGGCGAAATCCTTTGTAGTACCTAGACGACGTACTCGTACTTGCAGGCACGGCGCCATCCTCCGTTCCACGAGCTAACGTCCGAGTACTTGCCACCCGCATTGCACATCCTGTCTGAGTTTCCATTGTCTTTGCAATTCGCCACGCACTCTTTCCTGATGCCATATGACTAGTACATGGTTAGATTCGGTCCTTTGCGTGTCTTGTTTAGTTTCGCTCAGGCTATCGTCGACTTACAACAACGCAGCAGTGGGAGCCATCCGGGAAGAGGCATTGACAGTATCCGTCAGCGGCGACAGAAGTGACGGCAGCGAAGATGACTGCGAAGATGGAAAGTCGGACCATTTTGTTGTAGTTGGAGGTTGATGAGTAGTTGAGTGGAATTAGAAGGTTTGTAAAACTTGAAGTTATGAAGATGATTTGTCAACGAGAGTGATGAGATGCTGTGTTGGTGTGTTTTATTTGAAGGGGATTCTGTAGCATTATATAGAAGGTAAGCTCATGTTCGTTCATTAATTACATATGAAGTCTTGTAGTTAGATGAGTAGACGACAAGGCGTAGCGCTGATTCCATTAGCGAGGGGGGCGCAGTAGCCCCCACACATGAGTCGCTGTAACGATGGTACGAAGCACATTCCCATGCGTGTCTTCCTATCATAAAGTTCAACCTAAACCTAAGCAGCTCAAAACAGCGCATAGATTATTAAACCGAGCGATTGACCGAGTAGGAAGAGATTTCTAAACAATGTCTACGATGGGCATGGGAGGAAGTATCATTAGTAGAGATGTTAGTCATTGAACTCGCGATAATTTGAATAATGGCCAGAAAGGAAGTGAACTTTGTTTTATTCGTTGCAGCCACTGCGTGGGCCATGTTGGCCTGTTTTCAATCCCTTATCATCGACGTACTATAGTTTTTTAACCGCAATGGTTTGCCTATGGATCTAGTATGTCATAGTTGCAAATCTAGAGATAGCCAAGCATCTGTGAAAGCTCCTTGATTTAACAGGTGACAGACATAGGTAGACACCGCCGGATTTTATAGACACACATTGACATCCACCAATATGCGCACGATCTCAAGCGAGTTTGAATCAAAGTTTCTTGTCCTCTGATCAACTTCCACAAGGCAACGATAAAGTTTACCCTACTGCATGGAACAAAAGTAGCCTTCTATTGCTTCCATTGCACTTTTGTCGACGTCATTTACATCGGGCCCATGCTTTTACGCCACAATTCTGTTCTAGTCGTAATTTGAGGGGTTGGTGGTACGCCTTACTTGTTTAGTCTCTCTTCCTGTGCTGGTTGTTAGCGCTAATGGTTTTATAGAACCACAGAAACGAACTTTGTAAATGAAAGCGGTGTGTGTGACACTTCCAAGGAGCAGACGCAAATGACCGATACGGGGAGGGTAGAGGGGGGCTGTAAGTCATGTCATTCAACGACTCTCTTCGGCGTTCAGCTGAGCTAGCTAAATTATGGACAGTCGATGGAATGCTACCCTACCTATATATGTATAAATATCAGAGCACCACCCGCTCTTTGGAACAACATCCAGCTCACTCCACAGCATCAACACTCTTTACCTCAATCCACTCAACTTTACAATCTTTTACTACCTACTTAAAACCTCCAACAACCGCCATCATGGTCCGAATCCTCTTTCTCGCCACTTTGCTCATGGCCAGCGCCATCAATACTCAGGCTGCCCAGTTCTGCCAGTGCCTCTTCCAAGATGGCTCGCACTGCTGCGTTTACTCGGTGAATAACCCCTCAGAAACGAACCAGGGTGACATATACACATGGAATACTAACTTGGGATCAGGATCCCGCGATTGGCAACCTCGACTGCCAGCGCTGGTGCACCAACGCCCACCGCGCTGATGGTGCAACCAACCCTCGCAACCCTCTTGAGGTCGGCACCGCCTGCAACGCCGGTGGAAAGTACGGCACTGTCAGTGGCTGGAACGCTCAGTTCCGCACTTCTTGCTACAAGCAGTAGATGGTCTCCAGCTCTAGTCGGCAGTGGCTTTTAATGGGTGGACGGCTATCAGACGATTATGGTATAGACTTGGTGACACCTGTTAGGGTGTTATGGGATAGACTTGGTAATTGCTATTGTTTGTATTTTCTAAAGGAAGACTTGCGATAGCGCGGGTCTGGTCTGGTGTTTGCATGGTAACAGGATATAAAACGGTGATAGTCTCAATATAGAAACTGCCCCACCATCGTTGTTCCCAAGAGTTCGGTGTTGTTGAACATGCATGTTGTGATGTGATTGGATACCAAAGAAGTCGGGACCACCAGCGCAGGGACAGCCAAGCCATTCCGCTTTGTGCACAGTCTCCCGCCAATCTTCTCCAACAAGCTTCGCCAGGGTGCCACGTTCCAGGTACAGTATCGTCGATTACTAGCTGAACGGCGCGCAAAGGATTATGCGGGAGAGGAGAATGCGGAAGTAGAAGGGGACCTTAGCTGCAACCATCATCAGTACGTACTTGAGTCGCGGATGAGGCCGACTCAGGGTAGCAAGTAATTTACAGGCCCTCAGTCTCGCAACTTAGTAGCGCATGCGTTAAAGAGGCGAATGGCCATGGCTGCTACTATGACCGTATCGGTGGTTTCGGTCGCCACAGCGAGCAGCGTCACGAGGACGGTCTGGGAGATGTGCATAGCCTCTAGACAGGCATACCGTGTTGCTACTTAGGGTATAATGTTGTATTACCTGCGCTTAACTAGCTTAGAATAGGGGGAAGCTTGCCTAAACGGCTCCGGGTCTATTGACCCCAGTCTTTGATCTCTAGCCACTAAAACTAATCTAGTAAATTCCGTCTGAACAACAGAAGCGGGAATACGGTTACATTCGGACAATGGAGCGCTTGCAGCTACTATAAACCATGGTTAGATTTTATCCCCCCTACCCATGTACTAATCTGCCCTGTCTAGTGTTGATCTACATACACTACAATGACTCAATGTAATATACCAACGGTAAACAGATTGATTGATGGAAAATACTACGGCCTCCTTTTAACATTTGAACACGGTCCGATGGTATATTGATCGTTTCTGGGTTGCCGGCAGTTCCCAGGCGACAGCCTCCACATCTTGATTCTTCAGCTTGACAATCTTGAACGGTGAAAACAACTTGTCGAAGCCTTGAGCAACGTGCCGTCCAGCCACCTGAGTCGTGACATTGGCAATGAGGGGTTTGTACTGCACCTTGTATATTGATTGTACATGATTAATTGCGTCATCGTTGCTGAGCTTCTTCGTGTTTGACGGTGGCAGTTTTTCTACCCATCGCTGGTTGAACAATTCCGTACATCTGAAGTTCGGCAGGATACTCCTATTGGTGGTTTGTTTCGACTGCATTTCCCATCCGATACATAGGTAAAGTTAGCCAGTATTAGTGCTCTGTTTCAAAACCATTGACGGAAGCCCTGTTTTCTCTAAAAATAATGGCGATCCCCATTCATTTTGAGGAAGGCTACCAACAGATTGGAGCACCTAATAGTAATAAATAGTTGATAAGAGACCCGTTGCTGAGCCAGATCTATACTTATTTATGCAAAGCCTTATATTATTATATAAATAAAGAGAGTCTCTTTAATTATCTTCTTTAGTAAATCTAATCCGCGCGCATAGATAGGAAGGTTAATTTCTTTAAAACTTTAGAGTTGCTTTCTTTGCCTATGATAAGGTTAAAAGATAATATAACTTATATACGACGTATAGTATATATATAGCTACTTTATATTCTAAATTAGTAATAATTATAATAGTACGTTATATTATACTTTAATAGAGAGTTATAGTAATAATATTTCTCTAACCTCTAAGTAATAACTCTAAGCGATCGCCTTGTTACAAGTAACAAGAAGGATTCTCTGCTTGACAAGTGACGAGATGGCTGAAGGCCTATGGACGTCCACGTTAGAAGGTAATGATCATCGCGGGGCGAAGATCACGTAACTAACATTACACTAAGGTAACTATTAGGCGCTAGTATATAATAGTAGCAATCCTCTAATAGCAGCTATTAGAATATTAGGCTAAAATAAGGAAAAGTTATAATAGTAGTAATAGTAGAATTAGAAGTAATAAGGATATAAAGATAGATAGATTTTATTATTACTCTTATTATAGTTAACTTAAATTATACTTTCTTACTAGTTACTTTACTTAATAAGATTATTACTTATTAGTCTATTTAATAGAGATGAGTAGTTATTAAACCTTTATTACCTTCTATTTAAGTATACTACTCTACTATATCGCTAGTGTCAAGAGCTTCCCCTCCATGGGCAGCCTTGCACCATCCCGGGCCA